CATCTACACTAAATGTTGGTAAGGATGTGGAGCCTTTGGAATTTCATACATTGCTGGTAGTATCGTAAAATGGTATCACCTCTTTGGAGATCTGTTTGGCAATCTGCAATAAAGTTAAACATATACTTAACCTGTGATCCACTTCTAATATTTATCCAAGAGAAATTATAATATATCTTCACAAAAAGAAATGTACAGAAATGTTAACAGCAGCCTCATTCATAACAGCCCCAAACTGGAAACAACCCAAATGTTCATCAACAGGGTGAAAAGGGGACTAGAGAAACAAACTGTGTGATATGTATACAGTGAAATACACTCAGCCATGTAAAAAGAACGGATTTCTTATGCATACAATGATATGGCAGAATCTCAAAAGCATGTTAAATGACAGAAACTTTACCCAAAAGAGCATTCATTTATGATACCTAATAACAGGCAAAATTAATGTATACTGAGAAATCAGAAAGCGATTGTGAGGATGGAGAGATTGATTGGAAAAGGACATGTAGAAACTTCCTGGGGTGATAAAAATGTTCTGTGTCTTGCTTTGTGTAGTGGCTGCATAGATGTACATATTTACTAAAATTCATAAACCAAACATTTAAGATCTGTGTATTTTAGTGTATGTTTACATGGCAATAAAACAAAAGTAGTTATTTCAAAAAAGTGCAGGGAATGAGGAGGGTAATCACATAGAAAAAACAAGGGTAGGGATTAACAGGCACTTTGCCGGATTGAGACGTCTATACCATTGAATCTAGCGCCAGAATCAGCAGTCTTATTTGACATTTTTATAAGTGATTCGGAAGATCTTCAAGTGTGCAGATGCTACTGATCTCTCTGTGGTGAGGGCAAGCCAAAATTCAACAGTATCTCTAGCACAGAGCAAGTTTTCAAATTGCAGGTTAGGATCTCTTGGTGGGTTGTGAAATCAATTTAGTAACTCAAGACCAGAATATTTTCCTTTTAGTAAAATAGACTGGACTTGAACATATCAGAATGCATATACCACAGGGAAGTATTGTTTTGTGAAAATCTGTCTGAAATGTATTGGACTGGCTTCTTCCTGGTGGTTTAATTCTTTTTTTTTTTTAAAGTGAGCAATGGCTACTGAGGAGTATAGGAGAGAGAATAGCGGTGGTTTATTGCTATAGCCCAACCAAGTGTTGGCTGTCTTATCTAATGCTTAAATGTACATAAGATGTGTATACACACGTGTGTGGATGTATGTATTGAATCATGATGTAAAATGTATTTCCTACTGTGATCTGTGATAATAAATTTTGAGGCTCCTTAAACAGGCAAAGAGTGATATCTGAACAAGCAAGGTGTGGATATGTGCAGGAGGGCTGCTGCGGGCTCTAACTTCCTGCGCAGGAAGGGCCAGGAGTCACTGTGGACAGTAATAGCATAGACTTTTCCCAGCACGCAGCATCGGGTCACGAAGATGCTGAGCCACATTAGGAAAGAAAAGAAAGATCTCATCCTTCCCGTGTACAAAATCATGTTGTCTCCACACTTAGAACAGACCAGAGGCGAGGGTTACAAAATGGCAGGATTACCCAGTGCAGCGGCTCAGTGCTAAATTGCACAACTCCAAAGGATGCTCTCATAGACTGCAATGTGAATGGCTCCCCCTGGAGTTGGGCAGTGCACCACCTATACAACCTTACCAGGCAGCCATAAATATAGTGATTAAGAGCACAAGTTTTGCAGTCCAACAAATCTGAGGTCTTGTCCCAGCTCTAATTCCAGACTATCAAACCTTGGGCAAATTATTTAACCTCCCTTTGCCTCAATTTCCCAAAGAGGCTATGTTATGTATACCTAGGACCCACTTCAGTGCATTGCACATAGTGGTTCTCAATAAATATGTGTTAAGTGAATTGAGCTAATACTGTTATCTGCCTTATAAGGTGGTGATAAGCAGTAAATAAACAAACATGTACAAAGTTTATAGCATATGGTCTAAAAACTAGCACAAGTATCTACAAAAGTCAGACTGAAATAGCAAGATTCTTCAGGATGAAAAGATACAAGCTGGAAAGGAATTATTTTGTTTAAATTAATTCAAAAAATAGCCATAGCTATCGAGAGAACAACTGATTGAAAAATAAAATCCAGAACGGTAGAACTTTGGTAGGATGGGATAGTTCTTGAAGCCCCAAAGTACATAGAGAACAAATAAAAAGCAGGAAATGCATATTTTGTTATTTACAATTGTAGGGCAGGTAAGGGCAAAACGTACTGATAAGCTCGGAGAATTTTAAGAATGATATTGTCATGAGCCATGAGGCATGGAAGCTGAGATGTTTTGGTTCACTCCTAGCTTGGGGGAGAGCACGTGTGTTCCTCCTTCTTCCCGCGCTTATTTCCTGGTGGAACTGTGGTTTTCACGCCGTCATGACAACTCCTCACCCTTATTAAAGTCGCACAATGGAGCAGGTCACCTTAGACTGAACATACAAACCCAGGGCGGACTCCGGTGCTCGTCACCTCTGGCCCTGCCGCGCACCTCCCGGCAGGAAGTCGCGGTGCAGTCATTCCCTCCAGAGAGATGGCTGATAACAAAAGCCAGCAAAGTGCATTCCGGGGGGAGGGATCTCTGAGCCCCGAAGTGAGGTCGCGTCAGTTGGCAGTTAGAAAAGGAGGCATTTCTTACACTTGCTAATGAGTTTGACGCTTGTGAAACATAAACAGGAAGTGGGAGCTCTCCAAAGCGACCTGGAGGAAATACACTCCCAGTTTGGTCAACGTGTGAATCCCAGTTCTCTAGGTCGTCAAGGACACTGTCAATTAAGACTGACCCCCAGCCTGCACCCGAGGCTCATCTTCGCCCAGTCCCAGCAGTGACCCCATTTTTTTTTTCAGTCCTTCCCACAGCCAGGTCACTCCGCAGCGGGGTGACTGACCCGAGGCGCGGTGGGAAAGGCTTACAGTCATCTCTCGACTCCCCGAACTTGCAGGGCAGAGGAGCGTGGAGGTCAGTGAAATCCCCAGCCAGGCTTTATTTTAGTCATGAATTTCCACTGGCTCCCTCCTCTGACTGTATCAGCGCTGCTCACCTCGCCGGATTGGAGCTTCAGCTGTTTTCCCTGCTCCAGGCTGAGTTAGAAGGTCACGGAGACCGGACTTTTCCGGGGGAGGTAGGTGGGGGCCTCGGGCGGCCTAAGTGAGATTGCAGAAATCAGGGGCAGCTGGAGGAGGTCTTAATGTCCCAGGCTCGGGGCAGTGGGTTAGCTTTTCCCCGCCTCCTCCTAACCCAGGCATCTTGGTTAGTATTAAATTAAAAATAAAACAAAACCAAAAAAAAAAAAAAAAAAAAAAAAAAAAAAAAAAAAAAAAAAACAACTTCTCGTCTCTTTTTTTCTCTGTTCGCCAGCGGCCCTAATATGACTTTCCCAGGGCTGCCTTCCTCTCATTGCCCAATCTATCCTCTGCCCAGAGGTTCCTGCAAGTTCAAGGGCAGGATCGGTGTTTGATTCATCACAGTGTCTCTAGCAACGCCTAGCACAGGGTAGGGGGCTCAACAAATGTGTGTCGAGTGATGAATATTACGATTTCATTGTAATGGGCGGAGAGTTGGGTTTCTTTTCCCCCCTTGTCTCTCTTTTCCCTCCTGCTCTGGGTGCAGAGCGCAAACTGCGCCTCCGAAGTTCCTGGCAGGAGATGGCTGACCCCAGGTGGCACATCACGTCCCCCGGGTCTCAGTAGCAGTTCGCGGCGCTGCGGCCCGAGCCCCGGCCACGTGAAGTGTCACGCCCCACGCTGCTGCAGGGCAGGCGCCGCCGCCGCCGCCGCGGTTGTGTAACCCTGCAGCCGGAGGGAGGCGACCCGGGCGCCTCTGCTCCGGAGGGGGCAGAGGGAGGGAACGCCGGGCACCGCGCCCGGTATCCTCCTGTGCCTGACTGGCCGGGGAAGGGGGGGCCCTGGGGGCAGGGGGTGCGCAAGTGTGTGCCCGCCCCCAGGCTGCGCCCCAGAGCGGAGCTCCCGGGGAGCAAGGGGCCCGGGGCTCACACCCTCGGCGGTCAGGTGCGCGCGGCGTGCTCGGCGGCGGCCTCGGCTGCCCCGGCGCTTGGCCGCAGGCCCGCTTCCCATGGGGTGACATCCGCTCCGCCCCTCGGTCCCTCCCCAAGGCGGGCAATTCCTGGACGCGGGGCTGAGCAGTGGGGGGCAGGGAAGTCGGGACGGAAAGAAACCCCAGCCTCTGGGGAAGGCAGGGGGGCCGGGCGACTCCCTCCGCCGCGCGCCGGTTCTTCGAAGCGGACCGGGCGGGGGAGGAGGAAGAGGGCTGGGCTGGAGCGAGCGAGGGGATATTCCTCTCCCGGCTTGAGTCAGACGCGGGCGGATCCGTCCTCCCCCGTTCCCTCCCAGGAGACGGGAACTTACTTCATTTCCCTGGGGCAGGTTCGCCCACGTTACCAACTGCCCCCTCCCCCCCGTTCCCCAGTCCCTTCCAGCTTCCGCGCCCCCCACCCAGATGGGCAGGACCCAGGCTGCGCCGCCACCCCTCTTCGGGGAAAGGCGGCCGCA